AACAGATGATCAGAGGCCTAACTAAAAGTGAAAATGTTTGCACACAGTTACTGTGTAATGAGTAAGGATTATAGCATCTGATAGCATTATATCAAATTCTCCTATGTGCAGCAAAATCTTCAGTGTGTAACCTAAGAACACATTTAGAGATTCTTATTTTCTAGTACTTATGAAGGAAATGAAAATCTTTGAAACCCGCCATGAATCAGCTAATTGTGTTATTCTTATCGAACCATTTTAAACCAAAGTAGTTTACCCAAAAGTAAAAGTTCTTTAATGATCGTTTTATTTTTAGAGCTTGACAGTACCCATCATCATTCAACCTCAGTGTTTGGGAAAGAGTGATATTCTTCTAAATTTATTTTGTGTGCCACTGAAGAAAGAGAGTAATACAGATTTAGAATGTTACTTAAAAACATATTTTGGGTGAATTGTTCCTTTAGAAGAATTTTGGAATCCAAAATATCAGCAACATCAAATGTAATACATGCATGTTGTAAAGCATTGTAATTAGATCAATGTGGTTAGACTACACTAGATAGTTTCTGTGTTTCTTTTTGTGTAAGCCTGCTAACAGAGGCTGTGTTTGTTTACTGGCATTCCTCCTATGATTGTGACTCAAGAATGAAGCCTGGTTAGGTATTTCTACAGAGACCTGGAAGCTACAACAAGACCACCTGTGTGTGTGTGTGTGTGTGTGTGTGTGTGTGTGTGTATTTTTTTGAAAATCTAAAATAGCAGAAAGTTTTGTGTGAGCGGTAAGGGGATAGAAAATATAGTTTGTACAGTATAAAAACCATTAAGTCTATGGGAAATCCTCATAAACCATGGAAATCCAACGTGTGTGTGTGTGTACCTGCTATTCCCTACTACATTATGGGGACCAGATGTCCCCACAAGGATAGTAATACCAGTAAATTTTGACCTTGTGGGGACTTTTGGTCCCTTTGAGGAAAACCGCTTATAAATCATACAGAACTGAATGATTGTTTCCAGGACTTATTTTCCTTCTTGTCATTTTCAGCTATATTATGACGTCTGTGTTTAACATAACGCGAAGTGCCTGCAACCCCTTTAGCTGTGACTTACAATACAGCATCCCTCGAGTACTTTAATGCATTTATAAAACGGTTACTACACAATACAAATATTAAAACCAAAAATGTATGTATTGGCACAGTATATCGCTACCTCTGCTGAATTATTGTATCACCCCGCCCCCATAGTGCATTAATGCTTCTTCAAAAATAGATTATATAAAATAACTAAAAATAAAATATTTAAATATTTGAAAAATATATCAGAGTTCAGTTCAGAATTCAGAGCAGCATATCAGCATATTTTACAGGACCATCACAAAAAAAATTCTAGAAATTCTGAGAATGAGACTACAGGAGATACTGTTTTAAGCAAAGAGGGGAGCTCCCAGACGGAGGGAAACCCCCCATGATGACGCTAATGTGATGAACAATCCAGACTTACAGGCTAATGATGTGTTTTCTGAAGCTATGGTTGGGTGCTGCATTGATCCGGGACGATGTGAAATGCATAGAAATTTTGCAGAAAAGACAAGAGACCGCAATTGAAAAATCATTGGAATGCAATGCAGTGCTGTGAAGAAAACAGAAGAGTTTTAAAGCGAGTTTTAAATTGCATGCGTACAGCTTATATGATCTGCCAAAACTACTTCTCATTTAAAATCCAGCCACGTGTAACGGGTTACATTACTTATAATTTAAATCTTCACTGTTATGGATCAATTAGGAGAATCAGAAGATTAGTATGTTCGGCTATGGAGGTAGAGAGTATTTGCTGAAGGATGACAGGAAACCACAATTTAGGTAAGTATATAGAATTGTTTATAAATTTTCCTTTAACTGCAGGCCTTTTCCCTTCTTAAAAGAAACACTTACAATACAATAAAATAAAATAAATAATTCAAAACAAATTACATCAATACACAAAAAGAAACAAAAAAACAAATCACTTCGATCGAATCACTGTCAGTTTCACTTGTCAATTACATTTACCACGTACTCAACAGTAGAATGACAACAGTTTCTTCAGATACAACATCACTTTGGTGATATCACACAAGTTCGATTTTCAAAGGTTCCCGAACTGATGTCAGTTCTTTCTAATTATCTCAGACAGTTCACAGTCCCGAATAGAAAAAAACAGAGTTTCTGTGTAAGAATAGTTTTACCTTGAGCAGGAAAAAACAAAACAAAATAAAAATAGAATCACGATACTCTCCTGATCCTGTATGATGAATTGTCTTCTTTCTTTTCCAGTGTCCGAATAGGTTGGCTCGCCATCAATGGAAATCAGTCTCCACTCAGGAGAAAAAAACCTGACCTGTTCAAAAGGCCAGAAATGCACGACTGCATTTAGTCAACAATAGCATCACATTATTTAAGTATCTCACATACCAGTAAATTAACATACAAAGTAACTATTTCAATGTTTTACAGTATTACATTGCTAATAAACACGTATCTCCTTTCAGGCACGTGTACATCACAGCGACATGCACGTGAAGCAGAATGACACCACGTGAGAACAACTAAACTCAGCACTACAAATTTGTACCATAACATCCAAAAATACAACATAAATCACACATATGACCATAACAAACGAAATAAAATTCTGTTTTTCTTACAAAATAAGTGTTGTTTTCTTATTTAACATTAAACGCAGCAAATATACATGAATTGAACTCACCACATCCAGATATTCACTCTCCAGCAATACAACGACGTAATTAACCCATCGATCCTCACAGAAGTAAAATGACAACTGAATCCACTCAATATCTTCCTCTCTCAACTGATTTGAAGAGTTTTAAACACTATTCTCAAAGTTTTACTCAATTATTTCTGCTTTCTCACTCATTTAATCTAGCGAATTTCTCTCCGTCCTCTTCCTTCTCAGGTCTCGCGCAATCTGCTGTGTCAGCAAGGGGTGGTCCCTAACAACAGAATTCCGATTGGCTAAACCAATAACTTATTTAAATATTACAAATTATTTTTTGTCACAATTTATTTTATTATAAAAGCATTTGCTAATACCATCAATCTTCAATTATTTACTTTTGTAAACCTCAATTTATATTAATATATATATATACTATAACCCTTACTTAGTCTGGGTTACACACGGCTGGTAGAACTGCAACAACATAACGGTGTAAACCTGGGAAACATGCTTCATTCTGACAAAGCTTGTCATAATATGCTCATGTTTATTGGAGAAAAAATGACAGCTCAGTTAGTGGACTTCATCAAAAAGTCATCTGACTTTTTTTTTTGCGAATGCAGTGATTAAGTAGATTTTTTTTTTTTTTACTGCAAAATAACTGCAAGAAATGGTTTCATAGTATATAGATATAAAGGTCCATTGTGCTTTGTGATCTGTTCATTAATAAAAACATTTCAAAACACCCCCCCTGATTTTTCCACATATCGCACCCTGGTCATTACAATGTAAATTGATGGACATACAATAGCTACCATACCTGAAACAGAAAACTAATAAATTCAGTAATATTCCCTCCGCACGCATCGCACACACGTCGACATATCTCCCATATGAGAAGAGTTTCTCAGAAAGCGGGAATGGCATGTTAAAGGTGAATGACACAACATAACACCTGCAGGGGTCACTCATAATTCATTGCATTAATAATTTTTGCTGAAATACATAATTCATGGGACAGTTCTGAAGCTATATTGATTGTTTATATTGCTAAGTGTGGTTGCTAAGGGTGTTGCGCAGTGATACACAGAACCGTTGGGTGAAGCGGTCATAGCCGTGCTTTATCGTGAATAAAACACAGCTGTTGACCAATCAGAATCGAGGACTGTAACTAACCACTTTGTAAAGTTATATACAGTACATCAACAAATATACATGGTGCAATGCTACACCAGTGCACAAAGCACGTTGTTCAACTGTGGAGTGGATGCTTTATGAACACAATGTATAATATCACACAAAAAAAGGGACTCGACTGTTTAGTGAATCTGCCCTTCGCACTACAAAATATTCTCTATAGCCAACTTCTGTCACGGTGCAATGTAAACCTTTGACTGTTTTGCATGTAACAAGCCTCTGTGATGGCTTTAAGAATCTCTTTCTTTTAATTCATGTATTGATATATACCATTGATAGAGATTGTTCGAAGCTATTTTCTGTCTTTTTTACAAAAATCCCTGATCTTTTGTTTCAGGTTTGAGGATGCCCCCGAGATGTTTCCCACAAGAGCCTTGGCCAATTAATCAAAGCACTTGTCAAAAGCAACGCAAAAGCCTATTTATCAGGCTTCAGTCATAACAGTACCCAGATATTTGGATGTATATGGATGAGCACTTCCTTATTTGTGCTGAAAAGTGCTAAACATATAATCAGCTGCTGATTGCTTCCCAATAAGATATGGGAAATGCAATGTGTAAAATACATTCAGCACAGGTTTTGTGGACATGTTTGCAGCAGTGCACCTGATTCTATAATTATTTTAGTAAAATGAGCACTCAAACTATGCAAATCCTACGTGGCTACAATTTATTATTATAGTGCATTCTCTGCTGTGTATGCTATATTCTGGCTTAATGTAGATATATTTTTGTTTATACATTATTGCAATAGGATTTGATTGCCAAAATGTCATTACAATAAATATATCAGCAGCACACTGATTAAGAAGTTGGGTTTACCTTTAAGATCATATATGCCATCATGAATACTTTGTTTTTCTTGCTGCACTGAATGTAATTCCCACTACTATTAAAAAAAAATGGATAATAAAAAAATAAGTAGATAAATTGTACAGACATTACTCAAAAAAATTGTCATATTTTGTGCAGTAAGGGAAAACAGATTTAGTAGAAGGTCCATTAATAAGATGAATGTTTCACTTTTGCTCAAGAGAACTAATAGGGCGTGTTTTCTTCTTTTAATAATTATTGCCCTAATTTTTCCTTTTGACTCTTCCACAGAGGCGAGAGTCAGCTTCCTTCTCCAAGAAGACCAACAACACTTTCAACATCGTGGGAACCACCTACAGCATGAGCGTAGCCAAAGATCCCGGACTGACAACCATCTCCAAGAGCGCCACATCCACGTCCACCCCATCCCAGCCGGTCCGAGAGGTCCGGCTGCCCAAAATGGATGGTGAATACGTGCCGGAGGGTGTAAGAAAGTCATACAATCGTGTGAGCAAAGTGGACAAGATCTCTCGTATCATCTTTCCAGTGCTTTTCTTCATCTTCAACCTGGCTTACTGGGCCACTTACGTCAACAGAAAGCCGACCATCAACCGGTCCAGCCCACAGAAATGAACATGAAAACCGAAAATAAATAAATAAACTGCCAGTCCAGTCTTAATCAGCAACATGATGCTACTGCTACTGTGTTCATTTTTTTTTTAACAACCATGTAGATGTATACAATTCTAGTTAGTAGTTTGTTGTTAGTTTTTTTTTTTTTTCAAATTTGTGTGTGCCATTTCATGTGTTGCATGCGGTAAAATGTGACAGTATTGCTGGTCTTGTACGGATGGTCATTATTCAACCACTTAAGGTTAACCCCCCCCCCTCCAATATAGCTTGGAATTGGCGAATTCCAAACGGAAGTGAGCATCCATATGCCCTACTAAGCATTTGGAACTCCCTTGACGAAGGGAATGACTGACCAAATGTTACCTTGACCACGCTGCGCATGCGTGCAGCATTCTGCACTCCTTCAGTTGTTGCAAATAGCTATTTATTATTATTATAATTAAACTTTTTCAAACTAAACTTGCTTACACTACCATCTTAAATCATATTTCCATCACTGACAAAAATTGTTTTGTATTACATTAATATAGACAAATTTAATTAGCCTATTCTACTTACGTTTGTGAAGTTGAAATCAACCCCAACTTTGCTTTAAAATGCATCACAAGATCTCCTAACCGAAGATCACAAACGGAAATCACTTCCGTGTACGGACTTCTGGAAGGGCCCTTCGTGAAGGGATTCAGTTGTTCACTTTTGTTTGGAACGTCCTTACAAATGGCGGTTTGGAATTCGCCCTGTGTATCATCAGGAGAAAATCTTCAGTCCCCATTGGCTGTCAGTCACCATGGCGAGAACCTGTAGCCTTTCAGCAGCCAATAGCACTGTCCGTAGGCGCATCATTACTAACTGTCTGTTTTTTGACACTTTGCAAACCCAGAGTATTATATCATTATATCAGTTGTATCATCTAGAGTTGAATTCACATTCAGTGACTACTATTGTTTAAACAGCCTGAGCAGGCTCCAAGAAAAAGAAACTGTGTGCCTTTTTAATCACTCGCCGTTGAGATGAATAGTTTGGCACATGCTGACATTGTCTTCAAGCTTTCGCCTGCATAAAGAAAATGTCAGTGTTGATTGAACTCTCTCAGGATGGAATTAAACTCAGAGTTGATGCGAGTTGATTTAGTGCTGACAGCCGACTGTAAGGCACTGGGCCAGCCAGCGATTCTTTGTTTGTGGCCAATATGAGCAGTGAGAATCAGAGAAAGTATTCAGAGAGTTATAACACTGCAACATTCTTATAAAGCATTTCAGCTGTGTAGAATATGAAGACAATTCGATTTTTTTGGGGCCAGTGCCACACAGGAGGAACATGCATTTCCATTACCTCACACTGAAGTGTTGGTGGTTTTGGTACAGTAGATTATTACTCTGGTGATTTCATGATTTATGTTTTGAACAATACAGGTTCATGTTTGTGAATGCACTATTTTTTTATTAATATTGATATTTGAATTGTAAAATCTTAACGTTATTTTGGCAACTGCAAGCCAATATCATAGTTTCCTGTCTGTGAGATTCCATGCAAAAATGTAGATGTAGTTTCTATGCCATGTTAATTTAAGCATACATTTAAGATAATATGAGAACATGCACTCAACATGGATGTGTGCATATTTATGTGCTGTTATCACCATCGTTCCCTTATGATTTTATTTCTTTCACATAGTGTGTTCAGTTTTATTATGCATCTCGTTTTGGAAGAACAATCTTTTTGCATTCACTTAGAAAGTGCCAGGTTTACATGTGAATTTAAATAGAGACATTTTTGTAAATAAACTAAAAAGTTACGTAAAGTATGTACTTATGTGACAGCAAGCTATATTAAGCAAAAAAACATTAACTTTGCCATTTCATTTGCTTCATAAACGATTACACTACCGTTTTTTTTTTTTTTTAACAATTGCTAGGACCCATTTCTCAATACTTAGGTCACTTTTTCTAAACTCTTCACACGATTCTCCTAACCAAATTTCTGCTTGTCACAGAAGCAAATTTCACATCCAAGCTGCACTAAAACTACCAAAACACATCATACATATCTCAAATCAGCTCATTTTTCCAAAACTCTAGCAAAGGTTGTCACCCACCCTTACGAAAAATAAGTTTATTCAAGTGTGCTATTAGTATACTTCTTTTACCAACACACTTTGTCACTCATAAAACAATGACCTAACAAAAAAAAAACACTAAAAGGTATCATTATACAATGTTGTCTTCTCTAAAATTTCTTTACAAAATAAGAATTGTACATCTCTACTATGCAGACATCACTGCAGAAAGATGTTTCATTTGAAAGACGTAGTCATTGAATGTATTTTTTGCCAAAGCAATGGAAAACGATCCACAGTTTAGCCCACATAGACTGCTGTTGTGCTTATTGTGTGAAGAGTTATGGATGGAGAAATTGGTCTTAGCGATTGTAAAAAAAAAACTGTAACGTGGCTGTTGATCGGTAGCTTCAGACACGAGACATAAAATCTCACTCATTAGTTTTAATCAGTGGATTTATTAGCGAATGAATAGATTGGGCTCATGTTTATTTTAATATTCTAAGTAAGAATAAGATTTTTTTCATACATTATGATGTGAATGCATGACAATCTCTTCATTAGTTACATCACCACATATGCTATTGTGTTATCTTTCTGAAGGAGGCTTTATGTTTTTTTATCTCATCATGGCCCTTCAAATAGCCATATACAGTATCTGGAGTGCATATCCGTAGGCTCCTTGCATCTCATCTGAGCTATAGTAGGGCTAGATCAACTGATGTTGGTATTGATTGTTGACACAAATAGAACAAATCATAAATAAAACCACATGTAAGAAGTATATTTATATAGGAATTTAAATCTATTTATGCTAACTACATATCTGATAGCATACATGATCTATGTTTTTTACAGTATACGGTATAACCCTTATAGCATCAATACAAATGTGCAAAAACAACATTGGGTATAGCTATCCCAGATAGCACACGTACATCTCTAAGACGTCTTAAAGAGTGCTTCATTTGGAAAACATCTAACATCTGTTAAACATCTTTTAAAAAGCAATTTTACAAACATTCTAAATCATAAAAATCTGAAAGCAACTCTTCATAAGTTACATACAGTTGCTTTAAAAACATTTTCTAAATGTCTAGAGATGTATCACTGATGAGCAAACTAAAACATAGATCTTCCAGATGAAATTGCGCACATTAAATAGATGTCTCCATGATATAGTCTACGTGTGTTATCAGGGTAGTGGCATGATAGTTTATTCACATGTAAGAACATGTAAAAGTTGTAATTGTTTTAGATGGTGTCAGCCCACTTGAATGAGCACACTTGGGAAACATAGCCGTGTTGATTACCATTAGCATTACTTCTATAAACTTTGTCAGCATACTTGTCTAATGTGTGCGACATCTGGCTTTTCACATGCAAATGAAGGCTAATATCAGTGAAACTTCAAGAGGGTAACAGTAAAATGTACTGTAGTACAGCACTACAAATGCTAATTGCTAGTTATCACTGATTTATCTTAACTGAAAAACTTTCAAAATGATGCTGATTTTGCTTAAACTATTGCTTTAAAGCTTGATTACACATTTGAAGTCCTCATTTGGGCCCCCTTGTGTGTTTTTCAGATCTAAATTTTGTGGTTCATGTTGAACGGTTAGCATTTTGGCTACTAACAACACTAGCCTTATGCTAGCTCTGCTAGATGTACCCCACCTTGTGTGGAGTTTTCTAAATGTTTAATGTACAATCTGCCACGCTCTCTGTATATACTGTATTAAAAATAAAAAATCCAGCAATTTTTCTGCATGTTCCAAATCATCTGACACAACCTTGTGGTTTGTGGAGCTGGTAGATGTACGAGTTTTCTGAGTTTTCTGATTTCTTTTCACAGTTGTCTGGGTTTGATATGCGACTTGTTCTTTACAAAATGCCTTATTCTTCTTATAGTATGATAAACTGCAGTAGGAAAGCTCAAGGACATCATAGGTATACATATTTCAGGCTTCTATTATTGTAATAGTATAAGATGAACATTGTCTTCTAAGGACAGTCGTGTTTTTTTGGGGGGGTGGGGGGTGGGGTTCGACGACATCAATCTTGTTCTTTTTGGTGGTTCGTCATGTCATGCTTGTTGTACTCATGCTACACATGCTAGATATTTTGTTATGTTGTATTACACTGTGATTCAATACCAAAAGGTTTATAGAACAACGACATAGGTGACATGCAGTAGGCTGTGTCATAAGAAATGACTGAAATCCCACTAAATCTTGTTAGGGCGACACTTTTTGACTTGTAATTTTAGTCACCTTGAACGCAGAAAACGGCTTTCTCTGACATACCGATTCAATGTCCTCTGTATCAGTGCATTTTTGAGATAAACAGTCTTCTATTGTCGCACAGTTACTAAGATGTGCATCATGGATATATGTTTGCAATAAAAGTCATACCATAACTGTCAGTGCAGAAAAGAAAGTCGAAATTCATCTGAAGTAAAGTGCTGTGCTGGAGCACAAGTGAATTGATGAAGCTGCCTGCCTCAAAACAAACTGCTATGTTTACGACTTGCTGCCTCGGCCATTCATCATGATTATAGCCAAATTATCGGTTGTGTCAAATGAGCTTTAAAGAAAAGTGTAGGGGGTAATGATTTGCCCATGGATAATGCATAATGGTGGGTGTATTTATATACATACATATAAACATATGTAGCGTTTGGACCAATCAGACACACCATTTTTCATTTGATTTAACAAATCAATTATTCATTAGATTAACAAACATTCACAGACCCCTCACCCAATAAACATACTGGGTGCCAAGTTGTCTGTGAATGAGGCCCAGGACCCTGGTTACCATGGCAACCCT